ATAACAATTGATTCTTTCACAATAGTCAAGGGATGAAAGAGGCAAAGTCATTAAAACAAAATGGCTTTCTACTAGGACTCCATTCTAGTACATCTTAATTTAGGCTATCTCTATGTGAACCAAAATGCCTGCTTTTGCAGTTAAGCTTCACATTAAGAGAAATACATATAAGAAATAGAAAGACTAGATGTTCTGTTATTTCGGATATCTGGATTACCCATAAAAGGAGGTTTCCCCTGTGTTTGGTGCATATGGGTTTTTAGTCCCCAGGAAATGCACCATTGGTAAGATTTAAGAAGGGTAAGGAATATATATGAAGGAGAAGAAAGTTACAGTTAAAATAGGTACATTCTCAGACACATCAATTTTAGATAAGAAAAGCTATGAAACCCAAGGATCAAGAAGGTGATTTGCCTAAAATCTTAAGGACTTCTCAGCAATAACATCTTATATTCATAAGAGGAAATATGGAGATTTTTTTCAGCCATATCTGTACTTTGTCTCAATACTCCTACCTCTACAGGGTATGCAACAGTAATATTACACCTAAGAGACATGACTAGCAGCACTGGCTCCTAGGACAGGCAGATACTACAAAAGAGCAGGCAGTGTGAAGAAGCATAAGCCCACAAACGAACCCACACCTCCACTCAGGACTACCATGTAACTCACTCAGGAACTGGATCATAGAACTTAGGCCTTCATACTGTTAAGAATCAAGTATTTATAGGGCATTTCCAACAGCACATAAACTTTTAAAAAATGCAAAATGAATCTAATAAAAGAGGACTTAACCTATATTTTCAGAAATTATAAATGTATAAATGATTCTGATGCATTTTACCCTAAATTGAAATTGTAATATATACTAATCTTATTCAAAGTCTGCTGTATAAATGACTTTTTCTAACTATACCAGTTTTAAAATGAACTCTTTTTCAATACATATGCAAATACTAATGAGATAAAACAAAATGGCTTCCTCTCAAAGGAAGACATAATTCTGATACATGCTAAGAAAAATATGCTGAATTCAAGACACTTTTAAATATTATCAATTATTACCTTTATGATGAAGTGTTACTATCAAATTTATTTGCACAGAAACCATAAAACTATCCTTTTCTCAAAAGGATAATATCTTTCTGAATGTTTACTATAAATACACATGCAAAAATTATTAAGATTTAAATAAAAGCAAGATGACTAAATTTTCAGGGCAATATCTTAAACCATTTACTTAGAAACAAACAAAATTTCATTTAAATATAATACTACCAACTAGCATCCAAAACAAAGCAGTATGATAAATCACCAGAGAATCTTCGGTCATTTAACTGACCCCTCAAAAGCATCTGGTGGGACTCCAGGAATCAAAATTATGGATCCTTAAGAAATTATGTCATGCCACTTCAAATAATCACAGCATATAAAAATTTATGTCATCTGCCAAAAGCTTTTCACTATCTCTGTGGTATAATTTTGAAAAGAAAAAGGCTTGGGTGAGAAACATTGGGATAATAAATCAATTTATCTCCAATAGCAAAGTTTCTTTAGGAAAAGAGAAGAGTTAGAAAACTGATGTAATGTTTCCATGGAAATACAGATAAAAACCTGATTTCTCAAGTTCTAATGGATTCCTTTTAACAACAGCATTAAAAATATAAACGGTATATTGGGTGAGAAGGGAAGGGTAAACCTAAGAAAACATGAATCATTTCAAAGCCACCTTTTTTGGTTAAGATTATGAGTACCAATGCTGATTACAAAGTTAAAAGCTGAGCCTTGAGGATTATTTGGTTTTATTTTCTGTTATACAACTCATCATAATTTTCATATTCTTTCTACTCAATAGATTTAAGTGATACATCATATTATTATTTCATTAAGATAAATATTTATAATATTTTATGAAATGCATCGGCAAACAAATAAAATCAGCAGTAAAAATAAAGGATGATTAATTAAATCAGTCATTGGTTAGAAAGTGAGAATAAGTGAAATGTTAGGTGGAAAATAGGGATTTAGTCCTTCCAGATTGACAATAGCTCACTGTACTTAAATAGTGGATAGAGTTTTTTCTGATAACAGAGGGAAGAAACCTACCACCACAACTAACAGTTAAAAATGGCTACTTTTAGTGCCACTATTATTACATTCAAAATTTTCATGCAATCATTTGTGAAGTAAACAGAGTTTTGGGAAAGTATATATCTGTCACATACTTAACATTAATATCTCCAAGTATACAACTTGGGCCTGGTCCAGAAATGTGTTTGAACTCAATATGTGAGTCATAGAAGATTTGACCAACATGATATGTGGTCTTGATTAAAATTACACACACAAGTGTTTTCACCTCAATACTAAAAACAATATTTTGAATGCTTATGTAACAGCAGTTTCAAATACCCTCCTATAGAAAATGCTCATTAACAATAATCTCCCATCACTGGCAGAAGGTGCTCTAATACTTAATAGCTAGGTATTATTTCTAAGTAATGTGGCACGTTATTACATTATTTCAAGTCATTATAAAGTAAAGTTGAGGTGCAAACTGAAGCCTCACCTTTGACCATTTAACACACTTCAATTATCTCCTGCACCTCAGTAGATTTAGCACCCTTCCTTTCTCTGTCAGATAAACTCCACTACACCAATTACAAGGGTTACTTCTGCGTATCACCACTGTCTGCTTAGACTGAGCATTTGCACCTTTACTCCAGACAAACTGGTTGTGCTAGTTTTAACTGTGGGAAATCTCTGATTTCCATGTCTGTACTGGGCCAAGTATAGGCCTGGGTTTTCCAGCACAATCCTATGGAAGCATTTAGCACTCTAATAAAGACCACTACAAGTTTCCCTTAAAACTAAGGTGCTGGCCAAATGTAATTAAATTTAAGGTGATCTTGGGTATGGTATACCCATAAAGCACAATATTTAAGTTGCAAAACACAGATTTCTTGATAAATCAAGTGAGTTTAGACTTCTTGATAAATAGGATTGGGCTGCCAATCAAGGTCATATGAATAGTCCAAAATGTTGATCCTGATAGCTTTTTCACTTACGTGTCTATGCATGTGTCTATTGTTTATAAAACTGAATATATTTATCTTATTTTAGTAACATATTAATGTTGGCTCCCACAGGAACATGTTCAGCTTTTTGCTGTCTGAATCATGATATTGCTAGGCTACAGTCATCCTAACAATGCTATCGACAGAAATTCTTTTCTGTCAATTTATATAACTTCATTCTTTAAATCGGCATCAGGACAAATAATCTTGGATTCAAATTTGTCACTTAGAGTATGGTTAGCTAGTATTGTTTAATGTGTAACTGAAGTTTAAATGAGACATATCATAAAATTCCAGAGTACTATTCCAGTATATTGGAGTATACAATATAATACATAAATAATGCAAGTAAACATGTGTTTAGGCATAGTAAGTTTTAAAAGCCGTACTTTTTCAAGGAGCATCAGAGAAAAAATCTAATATAGAATTCAGAACAAATAAATAAGTTATGATACTATCACATGACATTCTAAATAGTTTTCTTATAGATTAAATTAAAAACTCCATAAAGATATTAAAAGTTTTACTTTTTGAATTACAAGCTTTAATTTCTAAAAGCCAAACTATATCAAATTAAAGATATTCCAATTATTTCTTTGACCAAAATGGAGATGACCATGAAATAAACCAGGACAGAAGTCATCACCACATTCTCAATCACATCTGCCTTTGAACAGAGGAAAAGAAAGGACACAGTTTCCTGAAGAGTCTCAACTAGCTGTGGTGGGAATGGAGTGGCCTATGTTGTTCACCTCATCCCACCCGTCCTGAGTTCCTCCTAGACATGGCTACAAAAGCAAATCAGAATCTCCATTCAATTTGTGTCTAAAGCAGGACTCTCTTCCAGATATTTTTCAGAGTTTGGGACAAAACAAACAGATTTCTCATTCAAAATTCACAATAATTCTTTCAAAGTTCACTATGACTAGAATCAAAACAGCCATATTCTGTACTGAAAACCTCCAGAAAACAGTGATAAGAAATATGATAGTTTCTCTTCACAAAACCTTAAATTTTGATAATTTATGCATCCATATGCCTATGAATCACATTTTGAAAACTAATCATAAAAACACACTAATTCTACAAAACATAGAGAGAAAATTCATTAGATTGCCATGTAGTTGCAGAAGACAGATTGATAAAGGTGGTTCTCTGCACTTTCCAGAACGTCAGAGGAGTAAATAAATGGGTTCTGTACTGTTGAACTAAATTTTGCCTTATCAGAAACAGAAAAAAACTAAGCAGATTGAAGATATCTTATGAAAAGTATCTTTTCATGATGAATTCTTATGCTAGAAGGACAGTTCTATTTAAAGCTAGAGTAATTATAACCGAGATTTTTGAGTTGCAAGATTTCAGACAGTTTTTCCAAAGGATTGCATGCTTGGATAATGAGAGAGGACTAACACACATACTGCTCAAGGATAAAGTACACACTGAAAAGTTTCAGAGCTTAGAGGAGGAGTGCTTACATTTTTAGGCAATTACTGATTGTTCACTGAACAAATGAAGGAAAGAAGAAACAGAGCTTACCAACTAAAGTCTGGGAGCTAACATGACTAAAGTGGAGGATCCAATCAAGACTGCAACTATCCATCCTATTTAAATTAGATCTTTCCATTTCCAAAAACATCTAATAAACCAACATTTAATCGGGACTTGGAAAGTTTATATCTCTAATTTCCAGGGAAATAAAAGAAATAAGCTGGGTCTATATAGAAAGCAGTTGTAGATCAAATCTGAAAGGTTTAAGAAAGCTTATGTTGACCAAATGACCTTTTAAAAATCTTTAAGAGCAAGGATTTCCAATGAACTATTTTTTTCCCAATGGTTAAAGCACTCCATTCATATAGACACACAGTCCCTGCAGCAGCAACAATACATTCAATTAATTACATGGTTATAATCATATTTACTCACCCTCCTAATAGTATCTGTGGTTGGTTGGACTGATTTGTGATACCAAATATGTCAGGAATTAGATCACCATTGAAGCTGAAAAGAAAACATATAAAATATTAAGCAACTATTAAATTCTCACCTCTAATTAGTTTTAAAAGTTAAAAAAAAAACTTTTGGGAGGTGTGGTAAACATTAGAATGTTCAGCAATATCTAGTTGTGGTCAATAAAATGTCAGCACAAGTGACATGTGTTACTTCCAAGGCACAGTGTTTTTGATTTCTGTTACTGGATCCTCCAGCCCTCTCTAAGCCTGCCATGACAATGAGAAGAACACATGTTTCAGATGGCCCAGCTCAGCTACAAAGACAGAGAGGCCTCTGACAGTCTGACTCTCCAAGAGATGACATAGAGCCGAGCCAATTCCTGACCCAAACTGCACATGTAGTATGAGCAAGAAATAAACTTCTGTTATGAGATTTTGGCAATGTCTATAACTTCTCCATAAGCTAGCCTATTAGTGAGTAATAAAGAGACAGCTCTAATTCCTAGAAACTTATTTCAGAATCATGACCAAAATTTAGATGTGCTTAGGAGCAATAAACTCCCCCCCAAAAATCCCTAGCTGGTATAAAAATTTATACTGGTCATTGAACATCGTAACAAAAATAAAAAAAATTCACAACTACAATAGAAATCAGGCTGAGTACCTTTCAGAAGATTAATCCTTGGATTTATAGTTCAGACTTCTATTGGCCACTGACCTATTGCTGTATGACTATGATTTTAATAACTGTAAGAAAGGCAGTAATGGTAAAAAAAAAAAATATGGCCATACTTTGCTTTAGTTCCAAGAATGATTTCTACCTCATTACCAAAATCCCCTACCAGAAATTTGGATTTAATTATCCTGTTATAGGAGTGTATTTTGAGGAAATAAATGAGAACACAAAACAACAGTTATAACAAGGACAAAAATTTCTCCTTAATATAAAAATCTTTCTAAATTTCTTAAGGAAACACTGTATCTTTCATATTCGTCAATCAAGCATAACAGTTTTACTCAAAAACAGCTGTTTAAATTCTCTGAGTAACGACATGGCTAACATGACAAAGGTCCATAATGAACACATTCTAAGCTAGTGAAGCAAAAAGACAAATTTCTTCCTTTTCATAACATGATGAATTTCATTTTTCTCTTTCCTCTATCATGGCAAATAAATATCATGTAATCAAGAGACTAGGCCCCTATCAGCTTTAAGGGAGAGTGAATTTAGTGTCAATTTGAGTACTACTAACAAAGTAGTTTCCTATGTGAAAGATTTTATTATGTGTTTAAGTTTAAAATCATTCCAAAGGAAGCAAGCACATACTTACTCCATAATTAGTGGTTCATCTTGAAAAGTCCTATTGAGTATTGTCATATTGTTAGGATCTGTAAAAAGAGAATATATATAAATTATCAGGCATTTTCTGTTACTTTTGATATCTTCACTTAGGGAAAATATTCTTTTATTCTTTTCAAGATTCATCTCTAATTTATTCCAACTATTATCATTAATGAGACATTATAAATCTAATTTAAAAGGACATGAAACTTATAAAGATAAAATATTGGGAGAGTTCATTCTACAGTGAAGACCAGTATTATAGTAACTTCCTTCTGAGGCACCCACCTAAAAATCTCTTAGCTGAGTTCTCTATACAATTTAGCATGAGAGAGCAGTTGACGATTAACAAAGTTTTGGGGAAAAGCCAATACATGCACAACTACCTTACTCTGAAATGTCCATGCTTATATACATACAGTGCTTTGTAAATGGTACTCCTTCTTTAAATTCTTATCGACTGAATGAATATAAAATATTGAGATTACAGCTCATAATGCTAAACGTGACAGAAACACAACTCCATTTGTCTCCCTTGAAATCTGGCTCCATGGACAAAGTTATCTATTTAGGTATAATTAATTGGCTTTTCAGATAAGACTTGAAGGGTTGTGAGTGAATATGGCAGACTTACTCTCAACATCTACTTCAACTCTTTTTGTGCTTTCCTGGACTGGGGAGACTAGAAACCAAAAACAGCATTTCCCACATATCCTTGCATCTGACATGCTAAATAAAAGTTAAGCCTTGCCAATCAGAAACACTGTGGGGTTTTTTTTTTTTTTTTTTTGGTGGCTGGCCAGTACCAGAACTGAACCCGTGGCCTTGGGGTTATAAGGCTGCACTCTAACCAACTTGAGCTAACTTGTCAGCCCAGAAACACTGTGAGTTTTAAAGGCATGAATGAGGCAAAAGCTGTGCTTCTGCTATTTCTACCTCGATGTCTGCTCACTGAATTTGGGAATATCAAGAGGCCTGGTGCAACATCCATTCTGCTGGTGAGAATCATAGCAGGCACAGCGTCATTCTGGCAGCTGCTATACAACTGGCCACTTCTGATAGTTAAATGAGGTAGTAGCTTCCTTGATGGTACTTGGGATTTTGTTCCTGAAAGCTCAATCTAGAGTTTGTTTTTCAGCCATCTCAATAAATCTGGAAACCTTTAAAACACTGTAATAAATCTCTCTCTTTAAGCTAGCAAGAGCGGATTTTGTTCTCTCGAACTGACCCCAGACTGGTCCGGGTTGAAAAAGAAAAATCAGAAAATAAACTTTAAAAATTTTTTTTACAATTACTGACATCCAAGTACAGCATTTTGGAACTGATCCCAGAACAATATTTTTGGTACATATACCTTTCTTATCCAATGACAAATATTAAAAACTCTTAAAATAAATTCACCTAATGTTTGATTTTGTCCCCAGAAGATAACAGCTCCTAATTCATTGTTGGCATGATTTTTTGGAAAATATGTCAGAAGGACATCCATTTGTGAATCCCCATCATAATCCCCAGGCACCACACTTGTTATCAATGCACTGTGATTCCTAAAAGAAGCAAGCATTTAAAAATATTCAAACAAGTTATTAGAAAAGAACATCTCTATATTTCTAGCATACAAAAATATTTTCAATTTAAAATTTTACAGAACCAATTAATCTCATTTTCTTCTTTAATTATTTTATCATCCCTCATGTATGTAAACCTCTTTGGTCTACAAAAGAGTTCAGAATGAATGCAGTGTAGTCTTAAGAAACAATATAAATCTAAAATAGATCAAAGGAAAACTTGTTTATGTTCCAGCATTGACTAACACTGTCTTTTTATTTAGTTCCTTTATCAAGGACACCAAGACACTTGAATGGTGTTTATAACAAATGGAGGCTCATAATTAATTGCTAAAGCAGCAAAAAGTATCCCTGTGATTTTATCAATTAAAAGATATTTTTTATGAAGTATTTAATTTGGATTTTAATGTAGATTTAAAATTTCCAGTGAAAATTAAACAATCATTTTATTTCTGAAAGGTAGTCAACATTCACAGTAGGAAATACGTTTTTATCAAACCTGGCAACATATTATCCAAACATATATATCTAATTTTATATATTTGATAATAAAATAAATCTCAAATTATATTAACCTTGAAAATTTAACATCCTGGAGTCTTGTCATAATTGTCTGAGTGACCCAATCAAAAACACTGGCCTTAAATTCAATTTATATATATATATATATTTTTTTTTTGTCTTTTTCCGTGTCCGGCAACGGATCGCAACCCTCAGTGTTGCCCCCGTACCGGACCGGGGACCGGCAACGGGATCGCAACCCTCGGTGTTGCTCCCGTGCCTCGCTCAGCCAGTGAGTGGGAACCGGTCCGTATGTGGGATCCGAACCCTCGGGCGGGAGCGCTGCTGCGCTTCCCAAGCGGCGCACTATCCAGTGCGCCACTGGGCCGGCCCCTAAATTCAATTTATATTTAATTCTACTTAGAGCAAATAGCAAAACAGCAAATTTCCAATTAGGCTATAGATAACTATTTTCTAAATGCATCAGTGATAGTCCCTTTTCCCTCTCACTCAGCAAGGCAAGAACCAAGTGGTTTATTTCTGGAAAGACTCAGGCATTAAAGACTTAAGTTACAGAAAAGGATAAAATTTTGGCCTTCTGCTAAAAACAGGGAGTTAATGGAAAGTCTACAAAAGGAATGGTTTGACCCTTGCCCCAGCTCTACCTACCATATTCCTAGAATCGGCCAGTCAGGAGTATACACACAGGGCAAGAAAGAGTAGAGAAGTCCTACTAGGCAAAGCATTTCCGATTAGCTCTTTAGTGCCTTACTCATAAATATGAATAGATAACTGTCTTTTGAAGAAAAATGAATATTAAAGAGAGCTAAAACAAATAGTAATAAAAAACCTGAAGAAATCAGAGCTAATGAAGTGAACCAAAGAAAATTTCAAAATTACACTTGAGACAGAAGAAGAAAGTGCGTCAATAAAAAAAAATAGCATGCTAAGAGAAAACAAAAGTAAGAGAACAAAGAAAACCTTGGAAATTAAAAATATAACAGCTAACATAAAAAATTAATTGAAGGCTAAGAAGAGAAAGTTGAGAAAACTCCTGGAAAGTAAAAAAACCCAGAACAACAACAACGAAAAAACAACCAGATAAGACAAAGGAATAAAAGATGGACCCAGGCAGACCAATAACCAACTGATAGAAATTACTGAAAGAAAGAATGACAAAAATTATCAAAGAAATAATATAAGAATATTTCAAAAAGCCTCCACTGAGGCTTCCAGTTTGAAAGGGCCACCTAATCCCTTGCATAATAAAAGAAAAATAATCTACACCAAAGCACATCACCATAAAATCAGAGCAAAAGGGATAAAGAAAAGATTTTAATAGCTTCCAAAATCAAAAATAAAACAAGTTACACTGGAAGGATTAGGAGAAAAAATAGGATCGGATTTTAAAACAGCAACCCATGAAGCTAGAAGACATTAAGTCAACTACAATGTAAAGAGTGAGCAGAAAAAGTTTTTGGATGTGCAAGGACCTAACATGCATCTTTTCTCAGGAGCTTCCTGAGGGACACACTTCATTGAAGTAAATGAGAAGTGAAGACAAAAATGGCACAAGATCCAAGAAATAGGGATTGAACAGAGAACAGCAAAAGGGAAGTCCCCAAATAATATGTCTGTAGAAGGCCTAGAGAATGAATCCAGATTGGACAGGAGTGGAGAGTACCCAATGGCAAAAATAAAAATGCATGATGATCATATGGCCAATAGAACGAGACATCTGCAAAGAAATTAAGGATATGTACACAGAAAACTACATACAGTATTTTGAAAAAAAAACTCATTTACTCCAGGTGAGGAAAACTGTACAAGAAATAAAATAATGTACAATACAGGCTCTGAAGTCCATAAAAACTACAAGGTTAAAATATAAACAACAATTACTAATTTAACTAAAAATTATGATATAAGTGTATTGGGACAATAGAGATAATTAAAGATGCTAAATATTAATCTATGCTAACAAAAAAAATCAAGAGATAAAGATTAAAAATGATAATTCAAGAAATTACAGTATAAAAATTTATTTTAAAATATGAAAATAAACATCAGAAGAAATAGCTAAAAGTTTTAAAAGTGGTTGCATCTGAGAGGAACAGAAACGTAGGGGAGAAAAAGGGTAAAGAATAGTTATTTTTACTTTGAAAAATATTCTAAATTAAAATACAAAAAGAGTTCCTAAATTTTAAAAGAATATAAAACAATTAACATTACATTAATCAAAGAAAAAGACATTAATTCAGATTTTTGTTTCAACTCAGCAGAGCTTAAGCCTGTTATATCCTACAAATTTCCTTAACTTCTAATCTTTCAAGAAAAATCACTTCTAGGCAGTTAGTTCATTTCTTATAGATAATATTTATCACCTTCTATTCCTTCCCCACTCCAACCATGCTGACATCCAGTATCCAGAAACATTTCTCAAAGGGCGTAAGTTCCTATTTATCCATTTATAACTTTCCTCTCTATGTTCTCAAGGCCAAATTTTTTTTTCTACGTGTATTTGATTTTACATTAAATATTGTAGAGTCTGAGCACTAATTAGTCCACAGAGGAACTTTTTAAAAAGTTTCCTAAGTAGTCTCTGTTCATCTACATACCAATTCATCCTGTACATGGTTAACAAGTAAATCAATTTAAAATACTGTTTTCATCATCTCTCCTTTGCACAAGGACCTGTAATTATTCCCCTCTTCTCATGGGACTGAGTTTTAACTCTTTCTGGTAGTTATTATGGTTCTTAGTCTGCCCTGATTTCATCTGCCTAGTTAATAACTTTCCAAAGTGTACCCTCCTCTACCTCTGTCAGGCAAATCTTTCCACCCCTTCTTCATAACATGGTGCTTTATTGGCTCTCTTCTAAATGCTGTGTTCCCAAACTTGAGCACTCTCTCTTAAACTTTACTCATACTAAGGCCAAACTCAACTTCCATGACTCTCTGGAAGCTGCCACTTTGGCCTGCACTGACCCATCTCTTCCTCCTTGAATTCAAAACAGCAAACAATCCTTGCTTGTTGTAGTTTCAAAATTGTGTTGGTTCATTATCATTGGAGGTCACTGTTTCATGCAACGCCAACCATACAAAAGAAAAATAAGAACTATTATTTGAACATTGAAAAAATTCAGATAGTTTCAACCCCCTGATTTGAATCCCTTCAAAATCAACCTTAAAAACTCCACCATCTATATTAGTCAATAAACAAAAAAATTAGAAGTCATTGATCTTTTTCCCACTGCAAACTAGGCTCCTCTTCTCCCACACACACCACATGGTTGACACCATGAGTCTCTTGTGAGTGACCTGTTCTCACAGACACACGCAGAGTGAAGGACAATTCCCAACACATGCAAGAAAGCACACTGCAAGGAAATGAAAAGTGTTTATATAGGAACAAACCTGAATCTACTCAAATTTACTAATTTTTCTAGAAGTAAGTCATCTTTAAACTCTGGTACTCTAAGAAATTATTTGCTACTTATATCTTATATCTAGTGGTTTTGTATCACACCACTATAGGTTAAAGTAAGACTGATTTCAAAGACAATCTAACCATCTATTGCATATACATTATTACACTAAGTACTAATAGAGAAACAAACACATTTGTACTTACTTCAAGGATACCTTTACTTTGGGTTTAAAATAGGGTGCACTCTGGTCTGCCAAAAAGACGATTAAATCATTTCCTAAAAGAAGCAAATAAATGATATTGGAAAAATATTTCCTGGTAAGACATCCAATCAGTAATTACAAGAAGCTTTCTGGGCACTGTTCTCAACAAAAAAACTTTTTTATTCTATTCCAGTACATCTGCCCTCTCAAGGATAATCCTACTAGTCTATTGGAGATGCCTAACAATATATCACACGTTCAATGTTGAAAGCAGCAGAGAAACAGTAAGGATGAACATGGAAAATGTAGCCAATCAAGATGAACTCAAGCCAGTGGAATCTGCCAGCAGTCAAACTGTTTGACTCAAAAGAAACATATAAAGAACATGCCTTATAATTATACTATATGTCAAGACTTGTCTTCCCTGAACCTACCAATGCTGCCCCTTATAAGGCTGTTTACTTCATCACGCATAAGTATGGCACCAAGGACATAGGAACTCCCATTGTAGGTATCTGACAACAAGGACATGATTAAGCATGTAAGCAGAAAAAGCTGAATCCTCCAAGCCCCTCTTCCTATGGCTACTATGGTATCATCCCCCAGGTTGATGCATTCTCCGAGCTTAATTAGCACTCACTGTGACAGACTTTTGAAATTGTTTAATCAAATACAGGCCATCTTTAAAGTCAAATAGTTTCTGCATCCAGTTTGGAGGGAGTAGACACAGGTTTGGCAGTATGTGCCCTTCTTGAAATACAGGGAGTCATTCAAAGATAGGGAGACTATCTAGGATGCACAAGAGGCTCTGGGGTCCTAGCAAGGGCCCCAAAAAGTCTGGGTCAGGATCTTGTCAGTCAAGCTCTATGCCAGCTTTTCACTTCCTTCCTTCATGGCCTTGACCTTTACACAGCACCTGCTTCTGTGGGTACTCAAGAATGTTAAAACCCCTTAATAACCCATTATTAGCATCAAGATTTACAAGTTAGTTTAGTGATGGTTGAAACAAAGAACTTCCAAGAACCACAAGTTAGCAAAGAAAGCAGATATTTGGAAGACTAGGGCAGTGGCCAAGGTGAGGAATGGCCAGGTGTACACACACACACACACACACACACACAAAACAGGAGGGAAAAGAGTCTGTAGTTTGAGGATGCTTCCCTAAGGATGCATTGGGTTTGCCAGCGGTCCCTGCAAAATGCTTGTGTGAGCTGTGTAGTGTTTAGGACCTTGAGAGGGCACAGTAGTTTCAAGAAAGCTGGGACCCTGACAAAGGGAGGGGCGGGTGAATTAAGTAAGTGAGGAGGCTGAGAGAAGTCTCCTATGATAAGAAACTGTCAAGTTGCATCTTTACCTGCTCATCAAAGGGGAAGAAAGATTGAAGTGAAGCAGAGGGGAACGAAGGGCCTTGGGAACGAACGTAGGTGGCAAGCTACAAGGACTCCTGGGAATTAGGAAGGCTTTAGAAAGCGGATGATACCATGGGGGAGGAGAAGGTGCGTGGGTAAGGCCGCGGGCTTCTCCAGAAAAAAACAACTGGGCTGTACTCACGGCTTTTGGGGGTGGGTCAAATTGTGGGGTGGGCGGGTCAGGACCCGAGGTTGGAAAAAATAGAAGAAAAAGGCAAGCTGTCAGGAATGCTGGAGATAAAGGGAGGGCCCCAGGGCTGGGAGAGAAGGGACGGGAAATGCAGGAGGACTGGCCATCGGGGTAAGGGGTGTGGGGAACAATGGGAGGGGCACACGGACAGCGGACAGAGGGAGGGCCCGGCAAGCACTGACTTTCCCGCAGCACGAAGAGGTCCGTCTGCTTGTCGGAGTTGAGGTCCCCGAAGGCCGCCAGGGTGCCCCAGGCCTCAGCCCCAAAGAGCTCGGCCGTGACGTTGTGCAGCGCCCGGGCCGGGACCGGCCCGACTCCCAGCAGCGCGAGCCCCACAAGGAGCAGCGCCAGTAGCGCCCAGGAGCTAGGCAGCCGGCCCGCCGCCGCCATGGCAGCCCCTCGGCCCCCGCCCGCCGGCCCAGCGCCGCGCTTGACGGCAACCGCAAAGCACCGCGCCACCGGCCGAGAGAAAAAGCGCTCAGCCCCGAGGTGCCTACGAGCTGGCACCGGCTGCTCTCTTACTCTCCCCCGGGGCCGCCCCTCTGACGCTAGCTAGGAAGTCAGTGGAATTAAGGTGAAGCTCGCCCCTGCGCTCACTTCCGGCCGGCGCGCCTCCCGACAGTGTCGCGCGGGGAGGCGGGGCCGGGCGGGCCATGCTGACAGGCGGCACTGGAGGCGGTGGCCAAGCCGGCGGCCGAGCGCGATGGCGGGGGCAGCGGGGCTCATGGCCGAAGTGAGCTGGAAGGTTTTGGAACGGAGAGCCCGGGCCAAGCGCTCAGGTTTGGCTGACTGGCGCGCCGTCTTCTACCCCCTCACTTTGGGTGGTGCTTCCTCTCAACCACCTTGGGCGGGAGGCAGTTGAGAGTCCAGGGAATGAACCTGTGCCCCGCGTGTCCCGTTAGAAAGCAGGCGGCAGTCCCGTCCGTGCTCCTGATGTCGCTTCCTTTCCCACCTGTAAAAATTAGGTGGCTGTCCTAACTGTACTCCGTGTGTATCTCCCCTCAGAAAGTACGCTGCGGTCCCGATTTAGCTCGGAGTCTTCCGCCTTAGAAATCAGGCGGCAACGCATTCTTGGGGAAGGGAGTGTGTTTTTATGTGTGCACTTCCGCACAAGTCAGGTAGCTTCGTTCTTAGTTATGACTACCATCTGGCCCTATTTCAAATACCCCTTTTACATTTTCCACTAGTTCTAAGCCCAATCTGTTATCCGTGTGGCAGAAATTGAGGTTAGATAGGGCCTCGAGTCGCGCAGTGGGTACACGTTGAGCATAGTTAGGGCTCTGAAGGAAGTGGATCCCTTCCCTAGGCAATTGGCCCCAGATCGCATAGTTTTCAGTTGTGGCGCCCAAGGCCGCAGAGGTCAGAGGACGCTGTGCAGGCAGTTGTAACAGTTCAAGTGTCCTGAACTGACTTGTTCAAATTGCAGAGTCACGACTTTAAAGTTAGCTCTTGTAGGAGGTGTCGGTGATGGGCCATAATAATCTAATACATTGTATATTGACAAAATAAAAATTTAACGAAAAGAAAAAAAAGTAGAATAAACATTAGATTTCAAAACTAAAAATAAATAAATAAATAAATAAATAAAGTTAGCTCTTGTGGCTAACTTCTCCGAGAGCTTGAAGTGAAACTTCCCTTACTCCTGGCTCACTGGAATATTTGAGCAAAAAGTGTGCCCATAGACAGGAAAGGTGGTGGAATGACAAGTCTTAACTTAGAACCTTCCCTTTTAAAGGACTGACAACTGTATGTCATTATTGGGGGATGTGAAAGTCATTGCCTAGGAAAATTAACTCTATTCGCATTGATATTAAGAGGGTTTTTTTCCCCCTCAGCTAATGTGTCCCCATTATGTTTTGGGCCTTTCCCATTTATGAAGTTCTTTGTTATCTGTTTTGCACTTCTTTTTTTTTTTTTAATTTGGAGAAAGTATCTAATGTTGTAAGTCGTAACACCCAATCTTTGTTGACAATTTTATTGTTTTTAAACTTTAAAAAATGTTCTGCACTTATTTACTTCAGGTTATAGTAAAAACACCACCTACAAAGTATGAAAATTTTTCAAAAAGTGACTCTTAGTACATTTTACAGCCAATACACTTACTTGGAATGGTCACATGAAGTTTTGTTTAACGCTTTTAAAAAAAATTTTGTGTCATTTAATAATGTTGAGTTGGCTACTAACAATGTGGCTATCTAGGCTATAAAAAGTGTTATTGAATTGTTGATGTCTAGACAAAGAGTAACCAGAGTTTTCTTACAGGGAACTGAGCACTGCCCCCAACATATATTTTTGCTGCATTTCTCTTTTTCCTTTCAAAAGCACGTAGAGTTTTCTTCTCCAATCTTTACTTGTTTCTTCTGAAATGCATGTCTTAACAGTAAGCTTTGAAAACCTTTTCTTTTCTTAACTGAAAAAAATTTCAAGTTTTATTTAGCTGTTGTTGAATGCAGTCACTTAAATCCAGCTTTATGTGCAAAGTAGTTAAGTGAATAGTATCAATGTTGGGTGTTCCTATATGTTTACATCATAGTAGTAAAAAAAGATACCAGTTGAACTCATTCCTCCAAATTAAAAGTTATTGAGGTTTCAGATTCTTCTGATAACTCTGTGAAGTATAGATGTTAAAGTTTCTCCAGTGAATCATTTACCTCCTGTGTTATTAAAAACAATCAACTTGATTCTGTTTGTTACTTTTAGAAGAATGTATAAACAGCTTTGTTTGAAACTTAAACTAAATTGATTCTGGTATAGACTCCTCTGCAGAATTCTGAGCATTGTTACATAGTAGCATAATGACTTCACTGCACAATAAAGGAATGCTATTCTTATGTAATGTTTAATAAATGGATATTATGTATTTGCTGCCTGACCCATATAAGCAAATGTAATTTATCGAAGCAAAGAAAATCAAATTTTCAAGTCATAAAATAGAAAATAAAATTATAATGATCCTTAATTATTGCTTTTGTTGTGCACTGCATCATGTTAATAACTGCTCGCATTGCTTTCAATTAATTTAATGCTGATTGCTTCTAACCTTCACTAAACACTTTTAAAATTGCTGTAGTTTAGCCTACGACGCTTATGATTAGAGTCAACAATTTGAAATGGCCAGCTCACCTGATGCAGTCGTCTCCTCTCCACGTGCTTTCTTGAGGTCTGGTAAGTGTGTAGACCCTTAAAGGGTCACTTGGTAATTTTAAATACCTTTGTTTCTGGAGGTTGATGTCATCATAAGGTATTATTTTGATTTTATTTACTCTTCGGTCAGCCCAAGCCTGGGCACCATTTCTGCTAGTATTAGGCCCAGGTTTGTATTGTATTTTGAATGTAGCCTGCTGTGTTTTTTTGTGGTGTGGGGCATGAGAAAGGCAGAGAGGAGCTCCTGCCCTGACACTTAGAAGCTCTTTGACCTCGGGCAGTTTCTTAGTGTTTGGGAGCCTCAGTTGTAAAATGGGTATGTAAAGTAGCTTCTTAAAAATGATTTTTCTCTTCCTGCATAGTGGAAGTAACTTTTTTTTTTTTTCTTTTTTGTCTTTTTTCGTGACCGGCAACGGATCGCAACCCTCAGTGTTGCGCCCGTACCGGACCGGGACCAGCAACGGGATCGCAACCCTTGGTGTTGCACGCGCATCTTGCTCAGCCAGTGAGCGGCCGGTCTGTATGTGGGATCCGAACCCTCGGCGGGAGCGCTGCCGCGCTCCCAAGCGGCGCACTGTAGCAGTGCGCCACTGGGCCGGCCCAGGAAGTAACTTTTATAAATTAGAAATTTTTGGCCAATGTCCCAATTACCTACTCTTCATCAACTCCCTTTGAAGTAGGTATTATCATGTGCATTTTCATAGACAGGAAGCAACTTGCCCCAGGTCCTGAGATGATTGTGTTTCAAGGACACACATGTGCTTTGTGCCATGGCTTCTAGGTTTAAGGGCTGGAGGAGACCTTGGCACAGTGGTTCTTAGACTGTTGTGTTGATGTACCCCTTTGAGAGCTAGATGAAAACTGTGGAATTGCTCCCCAGATGAGTGAACAAGATCTTGAAAACAATTTTAGGGTGGTTCATGGACCCAGAAATGACCATGTATGGATTCCTTTCAGGAACCCAGGGCTTTGGATGTATTCAGTCTCATTTACAGAAGAAGCAGCAGGTTTTAAGTGGCGGCATAGCTGAAATGAAGTCTTTAGGGCTCTTTTCTATAGGTTGTGACTACCTTGGGCCATTTAATACCTGTTATATGTCAGAAAGACTGGGAAAGCCTGTTGGTAAGAGGCTGCTTTGTGTTTAATATGTCTTAAGCAGAATATTCAAGTTTCAGGACTCATTAACAGGGAAATGTGAGATGAAACACCCTCCCACCCCCACCCGCACCCCCATCAATAGTGAGAGTGAAAACTCTTTCTTTTTGGCTTCATGGTAACCCATTCAGAAGTAGTCTCCTCCTATTCCCCTCCTTCATTTCCATTTAAATTTGAAGTCCTGTTTTGAAAGACAGAGGAGGAAAATCTTGAAGAAATGAAATAGGAAACAGCTTAAGGAAAAATCCATCAAACAGGAGAAAACAAAACTTATACTTAAAGGAACAAAAATGATCCCTGCCTTTAGTTGTCATCTGCTAACAATAAATATTATATGTAGCAATGCCAATTGGTTTCTGATCTTATCTTTGAACTCAAAGAACAAGAGGACATACATCTCTGGGCTACATTATTTTTAAGTACCAGGCTGTTTTCCATCTTGGCTTTCCTACTAATTGTTTGTTGGGTTTTCAGCACTAGCGTAGTTATTCAGTAGTAATGGGGTAATAGAATGCTAAAGATATGCTTTTATGCATCAATAGCCCTGAAAATTCCAATATCTGTGCTTTAACATTACATAGAATATTTGAAGACATATACAAGAAGCTTTTTATAATCCATTTTAAAAAGTGATTATTTATAAATTACTTTTTTCGGGGGTTTCTCTAACCAAAATTTAGTAAGACTATAATGAAAGACTTAAAACTTATCTGTTAAATAATAAATACTCTAAGTGATTTGCATTTATAATTTATTTACTAATTTAGAAATACTGCATTCATGTTGGAAATGATTTGCTTTCCCTTTATTGTAGTGCCTTGAACTGTCATTGTAGGAGAGTGTTTTATTGCATGTTTTCATTTAATGATAATTTTAAAGCATGTGCTATGTTTCACAGCTGAGCTTTTGACTGGTACTTCTGACTAGAAACTATCCAGTATTGCCAAAAATGAAAGCAAGCATCTTGATTTTGGAAGATTAGTTTTCAACATACCTGGATTGTTTTGTGTATTTTAACCCTACTTATTCCTCTTGGTATATTTCTGCTTTCCATTTTTTCTTTGTTTCTGCTCTTTACTGAATTTAGTGTGAGTCCTGCATTTCCGTGTGTGTACTTGAGTTGTGCTCTGACTACTAATGTGTCAGTGTGTGCTGTGGTTGAATGTAATTTGTTTTGATTGTTTAAATCAAAAGAGAGATCTAGATATCCAGATTT